CATTTATTCCTGAATTTAGATATTGAATTTGCTTCATATGCTATTTTTTTTTAGATTTACTCATTTGTTTTCTATTTTCTTACTTCATCATATCTTTTTGCTTGCAACCCTTTTTTGCCCATCTCCCAGACAGTGCTCATCACACTTATTATGTATATATATACCCATCCCCTCCTCCCCCTCCCACCTGCCCGATTCAGGGTTTGGGGGGGTAGACCCACATCTGAGGGATGTGGTGAGCAGTGTGGAGGGGAAGGGCATACCTCTAACCCTTGCTATGGAGTGGCAAAGATATAAAATCAAACCAATGCCTTTTAAGTGGTATAATATAAGTAGGAAACTGATAGTGACAAATTTACTCCCAGCCCAGGGTAACTTAGTCTGACTGGTTTTCACAAGTTAAAGTCCCATCTCTGTGCTTTGACTTAGTAGATCTCCTACCATTATAGAGAATTAAGCTAATCCCTCATCAACATGGCATAGCTGATGTATCTTAACCCTTTGCACTTGCTTGCTTTTTTCTCGATTCCTTTATTCTACTCGGGATTTAATTTTTTGAATACCCCAGATTTTACAAAGCACGGAAGTAGAATAAAAAACTGGAGTTTCTTTTCATACAAACTTATTTATTTGGATTTTTTTATATTTCAAATTATTGATACATTCAAAGAGTAATTTTAATCTCTATAATTTTTGCTAACTGTGTTGAGTCACATCCGAGTGCAAAGGGTTAAGAATGTGATTATTCAGAATCACATTCTTAAAATAGAAAGATAAGTACATGCTACAAAATGCATGTTAATTCACATATATTAAATATATTCATTTAAATTTTCATTTTAAGATTTTTTATTCTTTCACTCATTCTCCATACAATAGAATTCCCAGATCTTTTATCATATTTCTTAGTTGAATTTTCTTGCACTTTTCTTGACACTTTAGGTCAATATTTGTACTTTTGCTATATAGCATCCAGAGTTGAAAATACTAGTAGAAGGTGATTCACTTGTGTCACCCTGTTCCACAAATTTACTATAGCCTTAGTATAAATATTCCCTGCACAAATTCTCAGCCCTATTATTTTTTTATTAAATTTTGTGTCATTATCAAAAACATTGGTATAGACTATCTCTATTTTCTAGTATTGTCATGGACTTCAATATGCATAAGTAATGTTCACTTTGGTACCAATTTACCTACTATTTCTTTTCCCTTGGTCATTTTTTCTTTCATCCTATGTGTGATGTACATTATATTTATAAAGGCAGGATATAATTTGTTGTTGTCAGCATAATAACATACATCTCAGTGGTAAGTCTGGTTATAAACAGTCCTTGGCCTACTCCTAGTGATGCAGAGAGAGACCTACTGATCTCCTTGTAGAGTGAGGGCCCCTGAGTCTAGGTCTCCTTTCCTTTCCAAAGCTCTGAACATGTATTGTCAGGTGGGCCTAAACCAATGGTAGTGCATATGGCTGGGGGCCGTGCTGTGGGACAGTGTCCCCCTGCTGGCATACCAATGTAAGTCCATGAGAACTGGGCACACAGTACTCAGTGAATGCTCAGTTAAATTGAATCCCAAAATTTCAGATCTATAAAGAGGTTTAGGATTCTCTAGTCCAGTGTTTTTCAATATTGGCACTGTTCACTTTCGTACCAAACAATTCTTTATTGGAGACTTTCCTATACATTATAGGATCTTTTGTGCATCTCTGACTTCTGTCCATTCAATATCAGTTTCAACTCCCTCGTGACAATAAAAAATGTCTCCAGATATTGCCAAATATACCCTGAAGGACAAAATTGTTTGTCCTTTAGAGCAGATGAGAACCATTAGGCTCTGGCCCAATCTCACTCACAAGGAAAGCAACTAATCTAAGGAAAGTTGAGAATCTCAACAAAATAAAACAATTAACTAGAAAAGGAACTAGAATGTTCTGCTGGAAGGGGCAATGAGTGGTTCTGAAGAACAGAGCACAATGGGTAAATCATCATTTCATAGGGGAATTCGAATTAACATTTTCTTAGGAGTCACTGTTCAGAAATTGCCAAAATTTATTTCATAATTTATTGATTTTTATGAAAACATTCTACATATTTATCACTATAAATAATCTGCCTTATTGGTTCAGAGAAGGCAGTAAGAGTGCAGGAATTAAGAATGTAGGATCTGAAGTCAGACTGCTTCTTTTCCAATATTGGGCCTGCCATTTAGTAACCTGGCTTTGGAAAAACATTTTCCCTGTCATTGAAAAAAAAAAAAATGAGGACAATACAGGACCTATATCATAAGATGTTAAGAAGATTAAATGATATTAAAGAGGTTTGTGCAGTGCAAATTGCATGTAAATGCTAAGTAAGCATTAGCTACTTTGCTATTATCTGTGTTATTCTAGTCTCCCAGGCACTAAAGTTCATGAATACAAGCATAGCTAAGTATGACAATGCTCTTTTTTTACCTTCCTTAAAAACTTAGCTGTGTGTTGGTGTTAACAGGTAAGTTGCCCCAGCAGCATGTGAATTTTTGTTGAGTTCTCTCCATTGAGGCTCTAGCTTTGACCCTGAGTAGAACACTTCCACTGTCTACTTGAACATGGATTTGACTCTTGCCATCAATTCTAGCATCTCTAACACCTCCATATCAGTATCAAATATTTATAGTTATAGAGGGAATTAAAATACTGCCAACATGAATCAGGAAGCCTAAAGCTATGAAAATCCTGCTGTGCAAGTCTTCCCCATGTCAGAAGTTGTGGCTGCAGGTCCAGCTGTAGTTGGGCCCAGGCTGCAGACTACATGCGAGTATTATACTTCCACTACACAGAAGTAGGAGCCTCAGTCTTCCAGCTGGGAGGCTGTGATGAGTAGGGTACCGTAGAGTCCCTTAGAATTCATTGTTGACTTTAACCTTCCATTATATTTTGTCCCTGAAGCCATGAAAAACACACTATTGAGGCTGCCCTTTGGATTCTGTCAGAACCACTGCATGCTGTTCACAGTGGCAGAAAAAATGCACCTCAAAGTAGGGCTGGTTCCTTCCTGGAGACTCAAGGCTGAAGGGCTCTGCCACACCTGCAGCCCTCTCACCCCTGCATGAAAAAAGAAAGGCATACGCATGTGATGTTACTGGAGGATCATTGATGCAGTTTCCAAACCTGTAAAATAACCCAAGAAACACCCATGAGGATGTGAGACAGATCAGAAGCTTCGTGCCAGCTCCCTTACCCTCCCTTCCAACGTCAGCTGTGTTCCACACTACTCCTCCCATCTGGGATGGCCCCAACTCACGACACACAGAAGCCCCAGCAGAGCTCCCAGTCTTCTCTCCATGCCCCCTCGCCCACTTATTAGGGTAATTTCACTCCTTCTCTGGAGGGTGTCAAGGCTTGGGTCCACATAAATTGTGTCTAATAGCTTCCACTAGACTCACTGAGCTCCAATCACACTCACATCTGAGATTTGCATTATGTTTCTTAACAAGAAACTCCAAGAATGATAGTGGGTCCCAGGCTTAATGTGTAATCTTTCTCATGCGTGTGTGTGTGTGTGTGTGTGTGTGTGTGTGTTGGGGGTAGGAGAACATGGGCTGATGGAGGTGGAGAAAGCAGTAAGGGGAAGTATCCCCAAAATTCCCAGTCTTTTCTAAGAACTATTTGAGTAGGAACATTTGAAAGTTTGCATGGAGGGTGAGAAGAATAAGAGGACAATTCAGAGGGAAATAGGGGCCTCATAGGGATCAATACATCCTGCAGAACCATAGCTTCGGTGACCTTGTTTATATACAAAAATCAAGACATGTAGTTTGACAGAGAATTTGAGAATTTATTTATATGGAATGTCTAACAAATAAATATTCTTCTATGGTACATATCATTTTGTTAATCCCATATTTTAGAAAAGTGAATACAAATAAAAGAAATTAAAATAGTTTTGCAAAATGAGTATAGATTAATGTTTATACATGAACATAGCATATGTCTATAATAAGACTTTGATTGGTAGAAAAAGAAATAGGACATGTGTAAGATATTTACCTTGATTTCATTCTCCCCTCTGCCCTTCTCCCATCCAACCCTTTTCTCTTACATCTTACAGACCCAAATGGCTGATTCTGCTCTGTGAACGTGTTTTAAGGGCCACATATTGCAATTCAAACAAAATGTTTCTCCTTTTCCCCCCAATACTTTCTTTATTCCTCCCTCTTTTCTCTTCTCTTTACTTTCATTGCTTATTTCTCTCATTTCTTTGTATTTTCCTTAGAAGAAATATAGGAGAAGGAATTCCATCTGGAGTATTGGAGAAATTTCTAAATCAGGGGAGTAGAAGTGCATGATAAGAATTTTTAGTTATGAAAGTTAGAAAAATAGAAATAGAAAATATAGATGCTTTCAACTGGACCCTCAAAGGCCCACTTGCCTCTAAACAACTGATTCTCAGCAGTGCTCAGATTATCATCTCTACCATTCTCACACAGCCCATGCCCTCCTCGATCTGAGCAAGTAATGGATTCTTAGAGATCTGAGCTCCATCATCTTGAGATTATGTTAAAATGAAAGAGCTGAGTAAATGACAGGCACAGTCAGTAAACAGTCTCCTAGTGTGCTTAGTGATTTGATATTAGCACATGCTCTCTAGCTCTTCCCTTAACTGTTCTTAACCTTCATCTCTGCATTCAGTTTTTCAAATATTAACACACAGTTATCTGGAACCTCAAGAAAAGTTCCTCAGTGACAGAGAAGCCTCAGTGAAGACATTTGAAGCACTCTCTTACGTCTCGTCCCTGGTTGTACAGCAATCCCCAGAAACAGTCCCTGCCACTGTCCCACTTGAGTTGATTCCCTGAGTGGGTTTCAGTCTCCAGTCTGTTGCAGACATTGAGATTTTCTCATGAATTGTTCTTTCTCATGAATCCTGACTCTTTGAAGAGTAAAAGCAGGTTCTGCACTAGACCTAAGCAGGTTAGTCCCTTCTGCCCTACTTTTCTTTAGAGAGCATGAGATCTTACTGAGAATTCTCCAGGCTGAGCCCTTGAGTCACTGAAAGCTTCACATTCAGCAGAAGTTTGTGTTCAGCTCCCCCTGCAGCCCCAGGCACTGTGTCACTCACAGCACAGAAGTACTGGGCCGAGTCGCTCAAATGGGCTGAGGCTTTCTTCAGGTGAAAGGAGGTTTCAGCCTTGTTAAATTCAGCCTTAAAACTTTTGATGCCTGTGACGAGGCTGTTTCCAGACGTGTACTTCAGGAGAAGCTCGAGTCCTTGGTTGGGGTATTGCACATACCAGAAGAGATACGGTGGAACAGAGGAGGAATAGTTGCACCGCAGCTCCAGAGGATCTTGTTCAGAGACAGAGATGTGGCCATCAGGCTGGGTCACTGACTGGGCTCTGGTTCCTCCTGCAACGGCAATGCTGTGTCAGTGAGACCAGAGCAGACTTACCTAGGAAGAGAAGGTTACTCTATTCGGAGTCCAGTTGCAATGCCGAACTTCTGGGAACTAGAAAATGGAATAGAATTTTACTCACTCAGGACAAAAAGTACCATAAGCACTGGTATAGGTACCAAGCTCATGGCTCAGCAGAGAAGAAGCTGTGGAATCCTTTTGGAAAATCTGCCCTGAGCAGGAAGGAATGTATCTGAGGCAACAGCACCCTTGGAACAGCAAGAGCAATTATGGTTGATGCTCCTGAAATCTCTTGCCTCAGCTTGTTCCAGAGGTGTTTGGAAGAGTCTCCTCCTTGACTAATTGGGATACTGACTTTTAAATTCTCCTCATATGTCACTGTCTGCAAAGAGCTCCAGCTAGACACCTCAGCCAGCTTTGTGAAGGAGGAGCTAGAGGAATGATGCAGTTTTTTAACCAGAGTCCCGGTTTAGGCAACTTCGCCATCTAGAGGCCAAACACAGAAGTATCTCTAGTGAACCTAGCCATCCCTCATCATTTCTGAAATCATTGAAGAGGGATTCTGAAAGAAGTAAACTTGATGAACTTCTAACACCAGGTAACTCAGGAATATTTCTCCCTTTCAATGGAAAGCATGTGTGGTCATAATGCCCACAGATGCACAATTTTTGTTGTCCTTATGATTTCATAGGCAGGATACGATTTCTGGTTGTTTGGGCATTTTCTCCTCCTCTACTATGTAAGTATGTGATCCTCTATATGGTCCATTCTATCCATCCCAGGAACAAAGACACATAAGGAGAGAAGAACCAAGAGACTTCACAGGAAAATTAATTGGACAGGTACAGTCATCTGAGTCATTGTTCATAACAGACTCCATAGAAAACATCAGAATAATCCACTGGAGGGATCAAGTAGATCGACTTGGGCTTGGTTTTGGTTTGGTTGCTGAATGGTAGCTCAGAATTGAGCAGCAGACAATTAAAACACAAGGAAAAGAAAAAGTACTTAGTTGTCGCTAACAGAAGAAAAGCAAAAAAAAAAAAAGGAATGAAGGATGGAAAGGAAAGACAGAAAAAGAAGGACAGAGGGAGAGAGGGGGAGAGTGAGAGGGGGAGAGAAAGAAAGAAAGAAAGAAAGAAAAGAGAGAGAGAGGGAGGGAGGGAGGGAGGGAAAAGAAAAGAAAAGAAAGAAGGAAGGAAGGAGAAAAGAAGGGGAAGGGAAAGAAAAGAAGGGAAGGAAGGGAAAGAAAGAAAGAAAAGAAAGGAAGGAAGGGAGGAGAGAGGGAAAATTGTCACACTTGTAAAACTTCTCAGAAAATAATTAGTTCAAGGAAAGCAAGGCCATCCTAGCAGGACATGTAATCAAAACTTGGGACTTTACACCCTATAAAGTTATGCAACTATATGTACCCATAATAATTAAACATTTAAAAATTTTAAAAGGAGACTTGGGAATTTAGGCAAACAAAGACTAAAAAAATGAAGTTATATTCTTTGCAGTAGATAATTGATTAAAAGAATAGAAAAATGAGAATATGATGAAAGTACATTGTTTTGTCAGAAAAGTAAAAATAAAAACAATTAGAAACTACCTAGGGGGGGAATCAAGAATGCAGTGATACAAATGTAGATATTTTCAAGTCCTTAGGAAATTTAGGGGTAAAATAACCAATTAATGATGCTGTAAATATTTTTTATTTGGCCATGATATTGGCTTTTTAGACTAGGAAATGTTCACACAATGAATAAAATTATTAACAATTGAAAAATGTAAAGGTGACAATTTCCACCTTGACAATGGAAAAGTAAAAGGTAGTAGACAGAGAAGGAACAAACAAGAAGGGATGAGTGGGAACATTAATAGCTTCATCTTCTAGAGAGAGAATGAACACACTAATGTGATTGAACAGCACATAGAGGTATGTGGATCTGATTTAAAAAACAAAAGTAAATAACATAAACACCAAACAAGATATAAAACATAAAAGTAAGGAAATAAAACTGAACTGCCATGTCTGCTTTCATTGTGGAGAAAGAATGGATGTTAACTAAATTAAGTTGAACAATGGGGAATTATCCTATTGTTTCATCATTCCAACCAAGGCTGAGGACAATGGAGATAAACTTCTACACTATATAAATTGAGAAGTTAAGACCCATTCCATAAAAAGAAAACAAAAAAAAATAAAATAAAAATATATTGACAGGGTCAGATAAAAAGAAAACAAAAAAAAAATAAAAAAAAAAAGACCCATTCCATAGGACTAACTAAAAGTGAAAAAATTGTCTGTAAAATCTGATAAGAATACTTACACTTCATCTCTTGACTTATTAATAAGCTGGTTTACAAGCTGGGTGGGACTCAGTGAGGGGAAAGTAGGACATAACTTGATCTTCCCCATCACTGCTTGTCCAGTTGTCCTCTCACTCCCTTGTTGAATATTTGGGTAAATTGACCAGGTGTGATGGCTCACGCCTATAATCCTAGCACTCTGGGAAGCAAAGGTGGGCAGATCATTTAATCTAAGGAGTTCAAAACCAGCCTGAGCAAGAGTGAGACCCCATCTCTACTAAAAAAAATAGAAAGAAATTAGCTGGACAACTGAAATATATATATATATATAAAAATAGCTGGGCATGATGGCTCATGCCTGTAGTCCTAGCTACTTGGGAGGCTGAGACAGAAGGATCACTAGAGCACAGGAGTTTGAGGTTACTGTGAGCTAAATGACACCATGGCACTCTAGCCTGGGCAACAGAGTGAGACTCTGTCTCAAAAAATATATATATTTGGGAAAATCTCATAGAAGTTTTTGTTTTCGTTTTTCAGAGACAGGATCTCACTCTGTAGAATAATGTGATCACAGCTCACTTCAACCTGAAACTCCTAGGCTCAAACAATCTTCCCACCTCAGCCTCTTGAGTAGGTGGGACTACAGGCATGTGCTTCCACACCCAGATAACTTTTTTAAAAATATTTTTGCAGAGATGGAATCTTGTATGTTGCCCAGGCTGAACTTGAACTCCTGGCTTCAAAGGATCCTTCCACCTTGGCCTCCCAAGTCTGGAGTGCAGGTGTGACCCACCAAGCCCACACCAAAGCATTACTTTACAACAATTTCAAATGCTAAGTGAGTCTCACTATCATGTATTAAAAAGCTTATTTTTCTACCTAAGTCAAATGCTAATTCTTTATCCAGTTCAAGCTTCGCTTCTTCACACACATAGACATCAGCAAATGAAGAATCTCTATAGCCAAACTGTGAAAGGAGTGAAAGATAACTTCAAAACATTTTTGTAAAGTAAAAAAAAAAAAGTCAAATGCCTCTGAATGGATATGCACCCTCAGAGCAAACACTTCCACATGCTGGTATTCAGAACTTGCAGAACATTAGCTCCTATTTACCCCAATTGCTTTAAGGCAAAGCCACTGCTTACAGCCCTTGCCTCCTACATGGATCTCCAACAGCTTTTTTTCATTACCGACTGTTAAATAGTAAAGTAACTAAGAATCTGCAGAAATTTAGAGAAACCCTTCAATATGAAGATGCAGATCAAGATAAACAAGATTAAATGACCCTAAAGACAACAGAGATATTCAATGAACAGAAAATAACATTACAAAATCTAATGAACAGTCTCCAAAAAATGCAACTGAACAATAGACATTTTGGAACAAGAAAATAAAGGTCTCTTATTGGAGGTCTCCAGGAAGAAAGGGAATTTAACAGAATAAACTACACTTAGGAATTTGAAAAAAGACTGACATGAGGATAAAAAATGGGAACACATAAAGGCAATAAGAAACTCTGTGAAAAAGTAAAAGCTGTACAAGGAAGGATATGTGATCATAGATACTGTTTCCTTGTGGTTAACAATATTTTATTGTCATGAAAGCTATTCTATTATTGATTTTCTACTTTGAGAATCACATCATCCAGAAGATACAACCTAACCTCAAAAGACAAATAACCAACACTTGCTAAAGTCATATGGCTCAAAGGGTCTTTAATTGTTACCTGACAATATGCCCACTTTATTACACATACAAAAGTAACATTCTTCTACTTTGTGGAAAAGAAAAATTGAAAGCTTTGTACAAACCATAAATTATGGTTAATTAAGGTGTTGAGATTTGGGGCATTTTTATTTCTTCATCCATGTTTGTGCATGACTGCCTTTTGATTTTCCATAAATAATTAATTTATAATAGTCTCTTACATTAGTGACTCCCAAAGAATAAGGCTTCCTGATATTCACAGCCTGTATAGTCCCCACCCCATGAATTTGGGCTGGTTTGTGATCACATAACCAATAGAATGTAGGAAGACTGGTACCTTGACAGTCCTGAGCTAAAGTTTAAAAAAGTAATTTGTTTTGCACTCTTAGGAGCCAGGAGCCACAATGTAAAGTCAAAACATTCATGCATGGAGAGACCCTCTGTGGAGAACACAATGAAATGTCAACCATAGTATCCAAAATTCGAAAAATACCTCTGTGTGTGGCGCTGTTGTGACACATGCAAGTGGTGGAAATCCGATCTCAGTGAGACAGAAACATATCCGTTAATCATACTCAGTGCAGTGGTGAAAACCAAGTCAGAGCCGCTACCTCCAAGGGAAACTTCATAACTGCTTCTTTGCAATCACTTGCGTAGAACTGCTAACTAAGATAAGAACAGGGTTGTGCTGCCTTTGATATTTTGACTGCCTCACAGCAGACACCAAACTCAACCTGGTCTATAATCTACAAAGTCTGAACACTCTGTAAATCATTTATCAAGAAATTGTCCCAGCCCTGAGGCACGGGCCCAATTTAAACCATGTTCGATACCGTGGGAGTCTAGAATCATCAAATTATCCATAAAAATGTTCTTCTCTACTTTGAAATTGTGAAAAGCAGTCGCTATAGAAATTATTTGGCCAGAAAGAGTCAGTCGTTTTTTTCTGTAGTGAAATAGCTAGTCAACTTGGTGATCTTTTGATCAGAGATAACAAGACCAAGAGTATTGTCTCCCCAAAAGAGTTTTTATATTTGCATAGGTCTTTTTCAATTCATGAAGAAGTAAAACACCCAGGATTTTATGCCATCTCCAAACAGCTTTCAACACCTGGCTCCAAAGCTCATTATTTTCCCAGTCTGTTTTTCTACCAAGAGCATATAGCCAAGATGAAGCATGACTAGAACAAGAGCTTATTATCACTAACCCCAGTGCCTTTTCCACCATCCTCAGTGGCTATTAATTTCTTTCTTCCAAAGTGATTAACATAGAGATTTCTATTCATAAAAATAGATCTCAAAATGAAATCTAATTGTGTTCTCTCCTTACAATCAGTGACTCCTTGAAAGGACCTGGACCATAACCCTGGCTCTCAACTCGAGGACACATCTCTTTGCCTCTGGACTACCACTGAAGCATCATCCAACCAAGATCCAGTGAGCAGAAGTGGGATGAAACTCCAATGGGGAGAGAAATCTCTTTGAAATTTTTCCAGTGCAATATTCCACATTCAATTTTCTTTCACGGATTAGTAACCTGCAGAATGGCCAATGTCTTCCTTAGATAATCCCATTCAGCCCTTCAGATATTAGCATTTATTTTCATTAATGAATAGAAACTTTACAGAGATTCCCCTCTATCCCAACATCTCAACTCAGGACAGGAGTGCAGCTGGGCCCTGCACCACTGGATTGGGCAGAAGCTGTTCAGGAACTTGGGGATCAGTCTGAGCTTTCTATGAGGATGTCCATGTCAGAATGTCCAACCTTTGAACCTATGTCATACAAAGGGATGTATTTCTTGGTTTTATTCAAATGAGCTATAACTCTTCCTTCCCAATTTTCTCAATTTGAGAGTGTGGGAATCAGAATCCTTATCCTTTTCTGAGAAAAATTCCGTATCGCATGAAATACTGGTCCTCCTAAACGCACTTGAGGAAGAGCTGGCTACGTCCCAGGCTCAGTGACCAGGACTCTGTTCCACTTCTGCAGGCTTCTCATCACTGTCCAGAAATATGTCAGCCAAAGAAAATTAGTTTATAGGCTCTAATACTCTATAATTATTTGTTTTTGTTCCACAATACAACTACCCTACAAAACCCTAAGATGATTTGGCTGAAAACATCTTCCTATCCCATGGCCTAGTCCTGCTACTTTCAGTAGAACAAATTATCATATATGCTTTCCCTGTGATCAGGATCAGAAACACCCCCCAACCCCAGCAACAACAAAAAATAAAAAGCAACTCATAGGCCTGATGAAGCCTCAGGAGCACTAGCAAGTTTCCCAGCAACTTTGCTATTTTCCCTGTCTCCCCAAAAGACCCAACTCTAAAAAGTAATAATGATCCAGAATCTCTATGTTTCTATTTCAGATATTGCAAAAATAATCTACAAAGCCAAGCACAAACACAAAACGCTCCCAGCCCTTCCTCTACCTCCATCCTCCATGCCACACCATCGACTACAGGGTATTGGGACAAAAGAAAAGACAAAGACAAGAAACAGAGGAATGAAGACATAAATTCAGAGGACACATGGAAACCAGCTTGTAGATACTTGAAAACGGCCATAACAATATTCAAAATTTGTGTGACAAGTAATAAGCTGACACTTAGGCCAAATGTTTCAAAAGCTGAGAAACATATTGTCCACACGAACTGTGTGTTATGCGGACATAAAGCATGTGTGGGGTGTGCATAGTGTGTGTACATCTGTGCACGTGTGTCTATCTATACACACTAACAGAGGAGCACCAGCGAGCTTAGCAACTGTAGTATAATCACCATAGGTAGCTTCATTTTGTGATTGAATAGCCAGGAGCAATGATGGAGTGAGGACATCGCACTGTATACCCTTTTATACTTTTTGAATCTTAGACTCTATAAATAAAATACCTATTTAACAAATAAATAATATCTAATTATTTAAATAATAAATGAATACATAAATGTGCTAATACCTTCTGGAAATAATAAAATAAAAATTTAGGAAGTATTGCTTTGGGGCTTCTGCCCAGACTGCGACTTCCACCCCAGAGAGGGATACTGTGCAGGTGCAGACCCAGCTGTCGCACTGTGTGTCATCCAGGATGCAGTAGTACACAGCACTGTCACTCAGGGCAGCCCGGGGCAGCCTCAGGGTGCTCGACTTTCTGTCGGCAGGGATAAACAGAGATGCCACTTCATTTGTCACATTTGTCTTAAATCCTTGAATAATAAATCGTGGTCCCTGGTTGGGGAACTGTTGGTACCAGACAATATATTCATTCGTAGCAATGTCTGTGTGGCTACAGGGTATGTTCACTTCTTGTCCTTCATATGATTCCATGGCGATGGGCTGGGTGGTCTTAGCAAGGCTCAGAGAACCTGTGGGAGTAAAAAACACAATGCTAGCTCTTATCCTGAAACCAAGCTGAATTAGACGATCCCTCTTGGCACTTCCATGGTTCTTTCTCATAGTCAAATCCATGCTTTTCACCATACACATACCATATAATTTACTTCTCATTTGCATTTCAGGACAAAAATAGTCTTTATAGTTATTCTGGGGAGGCCCAGGAAAACATACGCAAGGTCTACTTACTCCACACCCACCGTATGAATGGACCCTATAAATTAGAAACCCAGAAAATGTTTACTGCCTTGAGACACACCACATAGAAAGGCTTAGGAGCTGCATGGAGAAAAATGCAACCCTAAAGTTATCCCTAAGCATAAAGAGTAATTAGCAGGAAATATTACACATTTCTATCTAGCATCCTCAGGTACAGATCCTGACTCTTAACCCCAAAATAACTCACCCAGGATTAGGAGCACAATCACTCTTGCCACCTGCCTCATATTCCAGGTATAATCTAGGACCCAGGTTCTAGGCTCCTTTGCTGTGTCTGAGCTGGGAAGAGCCCAGAAACAACTGCCAGAGCCCACACCAGCAGCTCTCAGCTGGGGCTGTCCCCAGGAGAGCAGCCAATAGGAGGGCAGTAGCTGCTCAGAGTGGGGCTCCCTCAAAGTTCAACTGAACCCTCAAGAGGAGTAGAGGTCAAAAACTACCAGTAGCAGAGCACAGCAGCCTGATTTCATCTTAGATCTTTGCTGAAGTCTAATCCCTTAAAAATTTCAATGAGGCAAACCTAGGAGTGGGTAGAGTCCATCAGGCTCCTTATTCCTCAATACATTTCCATAGCCCCAGAGAGTGGTCATCTATTGTGGTCAGTCTGGCACTCATAGACTCACAGAAACTCATGGCTCTGATGGTCCTGACCTGGCACTTTCTGCCCTGAAATGCTCCATTGGTCACTGTTTAGCCAAGAAGAAACAGAATCTGAATGTCATTCTAAAAAAAGAGGAAATGAGGCCATCTGAACTGCACCTTACATCTCATGACACCTTGCTTTCCTTTTCTGGTCCTACTAAGTCGACCTCTAATATCTCTTCTCAAACCTTCTTTAAAGGTGTTACCAATCAGCTAAGGTAGGTAGGACATTTTCTGTTGAATGATTCATATAACCAGGGAGGAAGTGAGGTGGAGAAGAAGAAAAGGCACAAGTTCAAAGTCAGACGGATCTAAATCCAAAGCTCAGGTCTGCACCTGTGGCCTTGGGCAACTCACTCCTCAGAGCCCTGATTTCTTAATCTGCACAGTAGGAATAATAATACTTATTTCAGGATCACCCTATCGCATATAGTCAAAAGTAAATTGTAGTTCATTCCCCTTCCTTTCCTTCTCATCTAACTCACATGCAAAGTACCACAGCTAGTAGAAGGCCATTGAGTATGATTATACATATAATTTTTTTAAAATGCCATGCACCCTTTCTTCAAGAAATATTTCAGTATAAACTCTATAACAGTAGCAGCCATTCAGGAAAAGAGCCATATCCAAAAGATGCTGTGATGTTAATTGAATCAGCAAAATGCTGTAAACAGAACATGTTAGATACTCACATTGATGTGGAGAAAAGACACTGTGTTCAGATTTTTCCTCTTACAATATGAACATGGAAAAAATCACTGTAAAATATTCAGGAAGTACCTTTTCTATGTCTAGAATTGCCCAAAGCATTCTGAATGAGCAATTTTTTTTCTATTTTCCCACGCAAAAAATAAATCAGGGAGTGCTAATGACTTCTAGTAGTAACATTTTGACAGAGTAGATACCACAAATCATAAAGTAAATAACCAGATTTCACTCAGTATCAAATGGAGGAGAAAGGAAGTTTTTATGAGAGACCTGAAAATAGTAGGTAGGGCACCTTGCACAGAATGAAAATAAATGGCTCCACTTTAGACTCAAAGCAATGGCGACCTCCTGTGGTACATATTCAAATAGAAGAAACATGAAAGATCAATAGATCTCAGATGATGCAATTTATGTGCCTTACCATATTTCTTTCTTAAACCCAGTGGCAGGTAGCTCAGCTTGGACCATGGAGTCTATTTTATGTTATGGAAGAAAACATCAAATGAGGAGTTGGACAAACTGGATTGTAAACAATTCTCCGGACTTGATATCTTTGCAATTTTGTGCAACTCACTTACAATTTGAGAGGCACTATTTCTTCACCTCTGCAAGACAGAGTATAAGGATCAATTAAATAAGCATAAGTAAGTTCTTCCTAGAGTATTCTATTAAAATACAAACTAAGTTTAACTCCGGAAATAGCACCAAACCACAATGATCCTACATTTTAAAGCCAATAAATGGAACTTGATGTTTCTGTGCTGCCACCTGTTATCTCACTTAGGAGAATATTACTGGATACTAAGTAATGGGAGGAAGAAACATCAGGAGTTTTTCTAGGCTTCAGGCTATGGAATGAAAGTAATCACTGATGGTAGTGGTATGTCATGAGTTGAAATTTGACCCCCGTAACCCCTCAAAAATGCATATTAGAATCCAAACCCCTATTACATCAGACGGTGACCCTATTTGGAGATAGTTTGTGGGGTTTTTTTTGTAAACAGAGTCTGACTCTGTTGCCCAGGCTAGAGTGCTGTGGTGCCAGTCTAGCTCACAGCAGCCTCAAATACCTGGACTCAAGCAATCCTTCTGCCTCAGCCTCCCGAGTAGCTAAGACTACAAGCATGCTCCACCATGCCCAGCCTATTTTTCTATATATTTTTAGTTGGCCAATTAATTTCTTTCTATTTTTAGTAAAGACAGAGTCTCACTCTTGCTCAGGCTGGTTTTGAACTCCTGACCTTGAGTGATCCTCACACCTCAGCCTCCCAGAGTGCTAGGATTGCAGGCATGAGCCACCGTGCCCAGCATGGAGGTAATTTTTTACAGAGATAATCAAGTTAAAGTGAGATTATCTGGATGGGTCCAAATCCAATATGACCTATATCCTTATAAAAAGGGGGAGTTTGGCCACAGAAAGACACATGAATAGAGGGAATTTTTTAAAAGAGTCCTAAAACAGATTCTTCTTCCAGAAGGAACCAACCCTGCCAACACCTTGATTTTGGACTTCCTGCCTCCAGAACTGTGAGACTTAAAAAAAAAAAAACAGTTGTTGTTTAAGCCATCCAGTTTAGGCTAATTTGTTATGGCAGCCCTAGCAAACTAATATATGGTACTAATAATTATATATGTTGTGTTGGTTAATCTTATATGTCAACTTGGCTGCGCTAATGGATACCCAGATAGATGGCAAATTTTGGGGGGTGTCTGTGAGAGTGGTTTTAGAAGAGATCAGTATTTGAATTGGAGGATGAGTAAAGATTCCCCTAATTAATGCAGATGGGCACATCATCTAATTTGTTGAGGGCCTGAATAGGGCAAACATGCAGAGGAAGGGCAAATTTGCCCTCCCTGCTTGGAGCTAGGACATCCATCTTCTGAGAAAGACCAGGTGTCCAGTGAGAAGGAAGAGAGCTTTAAAAGAAATTGTCATCCCCATAACAAGCGCCCTGCTAGGGAAACTACAGAGTACTATAGGAGCATGCAAGAACTGAAATTGTTTTGGTTGTGGGATTCCAGGAAGGCTTCCTAGCCTCATGTTTAGTTGACACCTCAACTAAAACCTAGGGAAGACAGAAAATGAGCCTGACAAATACTGGGCCAAGTGGAAAAGACTGCAAGCACAGCATCTGGACAGACTGAGAACAAAAGGATGGATGGCCCACAGTTGCATGGTGGTGCCATCGTCTGATTAAAAAAATAAAAAGACTGAGCAAATTTATCTTGTTTTGTGTTGTTTCATTTTATATGAGGAAGAGAGAGAGAGAAAGAGCTAAGCTTTGCACCATTTAATTTGAGGTGCTTCTGGAAATATACATAGATCAAAAACCCAGTCTGATATATTGATCTGAAGCTCAGAAGAGAGATATGTTAGCTGCAGATAATCAGCAAATAATAGCTGGAGTATAAGCATAAATAATTGAACAGGGCAGATTCTGTTGACTGAGAAAATAGGTAGGTCAAGGGCAGAACCCTAAGAGCACCAATATTTAAAGAGTGGATAGAATAAGACACACCCACAAGAAAGGACAGAGCAGGTTCAGCCAAAGACATCAGAAAATAAAAAGACAGAGGTGTCCCTGAAGCCATGAGAGGACAAGGTTTCAAAGAAAGAATAGGTAATCATTAATTGCATTTAGCCCAAGAAATTTTTGGTAAATTTGGTAACAATAGTTTTGGGCCATGGTGAAAGTTATTAATAAAACTACACTTCAGTGGGGAGAAGAGTGAGTAAAAAGAAAAAGACAATTGTCAGATAGCCTCCCAATAGCATCAGATGAGTTTATGTCATCAAATGTATATTTGAGTACGCATATACTCTTTGCTCTCCTATATTATATAGTTTACATAATTGCTAATTTAATAATTAAATGGAATATCATTTTATGTAATACTCATTATTGACACTTCAAAGAAAGCATTTTGTGGGATCCATGTGGGATCCCTTCAGTGCTGATGACAAGTGACAACAGCCTACCTGTGGCCCTTCCTGAAATCCATGGTCTTGCACTACAGTGAACCCCCCAACTCTTGAAAGTCATAGAAGCACACCTTTTCAGAATTAGAGCGGACCTCAAAGAGTCTTTCAGAAAACCCAGTGGAACTCACCATACAACCAGACAAGATCAGAGGAGGGAGGACTGAACGTAGCACAGGATGACTCAGTGGGGAGAGTCATCCCCTGGTGTCCACGCAGGGGCAGGTTTCACATGGATAGAGATGGCTGTCTACATGGTGTTCTCAGGAAAACCAGGACAACCTTGCTGCCTCAAAAATGTTTTCCTATCCACATTTTCACAAAACAGCTTAAAATTATATTTCAGGGACAAAAACCATGACTTCACAAATAATTTTTTTTAAATGTTGTTGCTTAAAAGCAAATCGACCGCAATGTAAAGAGACAACATTAGCTCCTTTCCTAAAAGCAGGTTTTCGGGTGGAGAAAATGGAATTATAATACAGACCGGCTGATGTAACAAAAACCAAAGTATTAATAGTTAGCTTAGACAAGATAGGAGAGTAGTTTTTTCTCATGTTGCAGTCCAAATATAAGCAGTTCAGGGCAGATATACAGGTTCTATAGTGTTGGGGGCCTCAGTATCTGGTTGCTGTGCCACCCTCAAAGGCCACTTTTATTTGAGGTCAAAGGCATGTGTTTACATACAACAACAATCCTCACAACAATCCTTATAATTATCTCAATTTCATTAATTAGGAAATGAGGCACATAGATGATAAACAACATATCCAATGTCACACAGCTTCTTAGAGCTACAGTCTCCAACCACTGGGCCAAGGACAAATACCAGTCCGTGGTCTGTTAGGAACTGAGCCACAGACCTACACCCCAATCTGTGGAAAAATTGTCTTCCATGAAACTGGGGAACCAGGCTGCACAGCAGGAGGTCACCCAGGATAGAGTAGAGTGACATGATCATAGCTCACTGCAGCCTCAAACTCCCAGGCTCCACTGATCCTCCCACCTCAGCCTCTTGAGTAGCTGGGACTACAGGCATGTGCCTCCACACCCAGTTAATTTTTTTTTTACTGTTTTTGTAAAGACAGTGACTTACTATGTTACCCAGACTGGTCTTGAACTCCTGGCTTCAAAGGATCCTCCCAAATTGGCCTCACAAAGTGCTGGGATTACAGACATGAGCCACCATGTCCAGCCCAAATCTCATTCCTTTTACAATCAATTTCAAGTACTAGGTCAGTCTCACTTTCTTGTATTAAAAAGCTTTTCCTACCTAAGTCAAAATGTTAATCTTTTGTCCAGTTCAAAGTTTCGCTTCTTCACACACAAAGACATAAGCAAATGAAGAATGCTCTAGAGTCAGACTTTGAAAGGAGTGAAAGATAAACTTCTAAAATATTTTTTGTAAACTGTAAAAAAAAAAAAAAAAAAAAGAAAGCCCAATGCCTCTGGAATGGGTATTAGCACCCTCAGAGCAAACACTTCCACATGTTGGTATTTAGAACTTGCAGAACTTTAGCTGCCTATTTACCCAATTGCTTTAAGGCAAATGCCACCTGCTTACAAGCCCTTGCATCCTACATGCATCTCCAATCAGCATTTTTTCATTACCCGACTCTTAAATAGTTAAGCAACTAAGAATCCGCAGAAATTTAGAGAAACCCTTCAATATGAATGATGCAGATCAAGATAAACAAATTCCAAATGACCTTAAAGACAACAGAGATATTTCAATGAACAGAAAATAACATTACAAAAATTCTAATGAACAGTCTCCAAAAAATGCAGCTGAACAATTAGACCATGTTGGAACAAGAGAATAAAGGGCTCTTATTGGGAGATCGCCAGGAAGAAAGGGAATATAACAAAATCAAATACACTCAGGGATTTGAAAAAAGACGCACATGAGGACAAAATGTGTGAAGACATAAAGGCAATTAGAAACTCCATGAAAAAGTAAAAGCTGTACAAGGAAGGGTATGTGATCATAGATACTGTTTACTTGTGGTTAACAATATTTTTTGCCATAAAACTTACGCCTTTAATTGATTCTCTACTTTGAGAATCACCTCATCCAGAAGGTATAACCTAACCCTCAAAAGACAAATATCTAAGACTTACCAAAGTCATGGCTCAAAGGGTCGTTAATTTTTGTCTCACACGTGGCCACTTTATTAAACATACAAAATTAACATTCTTATGTTTTATGGAAAAGAAAAATTCAAAAAGTGTGTGTACCAAAAAGGAAATTATGGTTAACTAAGGCAGTTGAGATTTGGAGGCATTTTTATTTCTTTGCCCATTTTGCTTATGAGTGCTTTCTAGGTTTTCCAAAATAATAATTGTAGTAGTCTCTTACATTAGTGACTACCAAAGAATACTGCTTCCTGATATTCACAGACTTGTATAGTCCCTGCCCAAGAATCTGGACTGGTCTGTGATCACCTAACCAATAGAATGTACGAAGACTGGTACCGTGCCAGTCTTGAGCTTAAGCCTAAGAAAGTAGCTCTGTTTTGCACTCTTAGGACTCAGGAGCCACCATGAAAGAACACCAATATCCATGCTGGAGAGACTGTGTGTAGACAACACAAAGAAATATCAAACATATATTCTGTCTTCTAAAAAATACCTCCATGTGTGGGTTTGTAGACATGCAAGTCTGGAAATACATCTGAGTAAGACAGGATGCATACCTATATACTCAGTGCAGTGGTGATACCTAAGCCAGAGCCCTACTCCAAGGAATGCTTCATAAGTACTTCTTGCAATCACTGTAGCGGAACTCCTATCACTAAATAAGAACAGGGTTGTGCGCCTTTATAATTTATTGACTGCCTCACAGCCAGACCAAAACTCATCCTGGTCTCTGTAATTATACAAAGCTCTGAACACTCTGTAATCATGTATTCACCCAAACTGTCTCCAGCCTGGAGGCACACCATTACCATTCGTACCTGGGAGTCTATAATCACCAACGATTCCATGGAAATTATTTCTCTACACGAAATGTGAAAGCATCACCCTGGGGATCATTTAGCCAAGAAGTCATGTGTTCTTTCTGTAGTGAAACACCTGACCAATTGTTTGATCTTTTGGTCAGAGATAACACAACCAACAGTTTTGTCTCCCCAAAAATGTTTTTATATTTGCATAGGTCTTTTTCAGTTCATGAAGAATCAAAACACCCAGGATTTTATGCCATCCTCCAAACAGCTTTCAATGCCTGGCTCCAAAGCTCATTATTTTCCCAGTCTGTTTTTCTGCCAAGAGAATGTAGCCAATATGAAGTATGACTAGAACTAGAGCCTATTATCACTAACCCAAGTGCCTTTTCCGCCATGTTCAGTGGCTATTAATTTCTTTCTTCCAAAGTGATTAACATCAAGATTCCTACTCATAAAAACAGATCTCAAAATGAAACCTAATTGTGTTGTTTCCTCACAATCATTGACTCCTTGACAGGACCTGGACCATAACCCCGGCTTCCATCTCCAAAACACATCTCTCTTCCTCTGGACTACCACTGAGGCATCATCCAACCAAGGTCCAATGAGCAGGAGGGGGATGAAACTCCAATGGGGAGAGAAAATGTTTTGAAATTTTTCAAGTGCAATACTCCACATTCAATTTTCTTTCAAGGATTAATTATCTGCAGAATAGCCTAATGTCTTCCTTAGATAATCCCACTCAGCCTCTCAGTTATGGGTATTTATTTTCATTAATAAATAGAAACTTTCCACAGAGTCCCCTCTGTCCCATGCTCTGAACTCAGGACAGGAGTGCAGCTGGACACTCCACCACTGGTTTGGGCAGAAGCTGTCCGGGGACTTGGGGAGCACTCTGTACTTCCTATGAGGATGTCAATATCAGAATGCCCAACCTTTGAATCTGTGTCAGACAAAGGATTATACTTCTTGTTTTTATTCAGATAAGCTATAACTCTTCTTTCCTAATTTTATCAATTTGAGAGTGTGGGAATCAGCATCCTTAGGCTTTTTGAGAATCATTCTATACTGCATGAAATAATGGTCCTCTTAAATGCACTTGAGGGAAGAGCTGGCTACATCCCAAGCATGCGGTGACCAGGACTCTGTTCCACTTCTGCTTCCACTTCAGACTTCTCACCCCTGTCAAGAAAGATGTCAGCCAAAGAAAATGAGTTTATAGGCTCTAATACTCTATAATTATTTGTTTTTGTTCTACAATACAACTACCCTACCAAACCCTAAGATGACCTAGCTAGAAACATCCTCCCATCCCATGGCCTGGTCCTGTCACTTTCAATAGAAAATATTATCATATATGCTTTCCCTGTGATCAGGATCAGAAACACCCCTCACCCCAGCCATAACAAAAATAAAAAGCTCCTCCCAGGCCTCATGAAGCCACAGGAGCACTAGCAGGATTCCCAGCAACTTTACTATTATTTCTGTCTCCTTTGGATTCCCAAAAGACCTAACTCTAAAAAGTAATAATGACCCAGAATCTCTATGTTTCTATTTTAGATAAAATACTCCCATCCCTTCTCCATTTGCCACGCCATACCATCCATGACAGCGTACTGGGATAAAATAAAAGACAAACAGAGAAAACAGAGGAATGAGGACATAAATTCAGAGGACACATAGACACCAGCCTGTAGACTCTTGAAAATGGCCATTAAAATGTTCAAAATTGGTGTGATAAGTAATAAGCTGACGCTTAGGCTAAGTGTTTCAAAAGCTGAGAAACATTGTCCGCATTAAGTGTGTGTTATATGGACATAAAATATGTATGGGTTGTGCATAGGATGTGCACATATTCTACATGTGTGTCTATCTATACACACAAACTGAGGAGCACCAGCGAGCTAAGCAACTGTAGGAGAATCACCATAGATAGCCTCATTTTGATGATTGGGTAGCCAGGAGCAATGATGCAGTGAGGGCATTGCACTGTATACCCTTTTATGCTTTTTGAATTATAGACCATGTAAATAATTACCAATTTAACAAACGAATAATATCAATTTTTAAATAGTAAAAGAATACATGAATTTACTAATACCTTCTGGAAATAAGCAAATAAAATAAAAATTTTAGAAAGTATTGCTTTGGGGTTTCTGCTCAGACTGTGACTCCCACCCACAGAGGGATACTGTGCAGGTGCAGACCCAGCTGTCGCACTGTGTGCTAGCCAGGATGCAGTAGTACACAGCACTGTCACTCAGGGCAGCCCTGGGCAGCCTCAGGGTGCTCAACTTTCTGTCAGCAGGGATAAACAGAGATGCCACTTCATCTGTCACATTTGTCTTATATCCTTGAATAATAAATCGTGGTCCCTGGTTGGGAAGCTGTTGGTACCAGAAGATATTCTCACTTGTAGCAATGTCTGTGTGGCTACAGGGTATGTTCACTTCTTGTCCTTCATATGATTCCATGGCGATGGGCTGGGTGGTCTTAGCAAGGCTCAGAGTACCTAAGGGAGTAAAACACAATGCTAGCTCTTATCCTGAAACAAAGCTGACCAAGCACCTCCGTGGTTCTCTCTCATAGTCAAATCTATCCCAAAACCCTGCCTTACCACTATACGCATAGCACACAATTTACTTCTCATTTGTGTTTTGGGAAAAAAAAATAGTCATTATATTTATTCCAAGGAAATCCAGGAAAACATGTGGAAGATCTACTTACTCCATGGCCAACCCCAAAGATGGACCCTATAAATTAGAAACCCTGAAAATATTTACTGCCTTGAGACACACCACATAGAAAGGCTTAGGAGCTGCATGGAGAAAAGTGAGACCCCAAAGTTATCCCTGAACATAAACAGTAATTACCAGGCAAGATTGCAGATTCCTATAGTGCATCCTCAGGCCCAACTCCCAATTCTTAACCCCGAAATAACTTACCCAGGATTAGCAGCACGATCACTCTTGCTACCTGCCTCATATTCTAAGTGCAGACTAGGACGCAGGTCCTAGGCTCTTTTCCACATCTGAGCTGGGAAGAGCCCAGCAGCAATTGCCAGAGCCCACACCAGCAGCTCTCAGCTGGGACTGTCCCCAGGGGAGCAGCCAATAGCAGGGCAGCAGCTGCTCAGAGTGGGGCTCCCCTCCAAGTTCAACTGAACCCTCAAGATCAGTAGGGAGTAAAAACTACCAGTAACAGAGCATAGCAGCATGATGTCGTCTTAGATCTTTGCTGAGGTCTAATCCTTTAAAGATTTCAATGAGGCAAATGACTTAGCGGGTGGATTCCATCAGGTTCTGTATTCCTCATTACATTTCTTTTTATTATTATTATTATTATTACTTCATATTATGGGAGTACAAATATTGTTAGGGTTACATATCTTGCCCCTGCCCCCTCTCCCCCCAGAGGGTGATCATCTATTGTGGTCAGTCTGGCACTCATAGATTCATGGACACTCATGGTTCTGAGGGTCCTGACCTGATATTTCTGCCCTGAAATGCTTCATTCATCCCTATTTAGCCAAGAAGAAACAGAATCCTAATCTCATTCTAGAAAAAGAGCAAATGAGGCCACCTGAACTGGACCTTCCATCTCCTGACAACCTGCTGTCCTTCTGGTCCCACTAGGTCCACATCTAATATCTGCTTCTGGAGCCCTGTTTAAAGGTGTTAAACAGGGGGACAGAGACCCCTTGCTAGTCCTTACTTACCAGCTAAGGTAGGACATATTGTGTGGAATCATTCATATAACCAGAAGAAGAAAAGGTACAAGTTCAAAGTCAGATGGATCTTACTCCAAATCTCAACACTGCTACCTGTGACAGTGGGCAACTCACTCCACAGAGCCCCGGTTTCTTCATCTGCAAAATGGGAACAATAATACTGATTTCAGGATCAGACTATGGCATGTCATCAAAAGTAAATTGTAGTTCCTTCCCCTTCCTTTGCTTCTCACTTGACGCACAAGCAAAGTCCCACGGCTAATAGAAAGCACTTGTCTACGATTATATATATCATTTTTTTAAATACCATGAACCCTTCCTTCAAGAAATATTTCAGTATAAACTCTATAACAGCAACAGCCATTCAGGAAAATAGCCATATCCAAAAGATGCTGTGATGTTAACTGAATCAGCAAAATGCTATAAACAGAACATGTTAGATACTCACATTGATGTGGAAAAGATAGTGTGTTGAGTTTTTCCTTATATAATATGGACATGGAAAAAAGTCACTGGAAAATATTCAGAAAGTGCTGCTTCTATGCCTAAAATTGCCCAAAGCATTCTGAATGAGCAATTTTTTTCTGTTTTCCCAATTAAAAAAAAAAATTCAGTGAGTGCTAATGACTTCTAATAATATTTAGACACAATAGATACCACAAGTTATGAAGTAAATAGACAATTTCACTCAGTATCAAGTGGAGGAGAAAGAATGTTTTTATGAGGGAGCTGAAAATACTAGCTAGGACACCTTGCACAGAAATGAAAATAAGTGGCCACACTTTAGGCTGGAAGCAACAGCGACCTCGTGTGGTACATATTCAAATAGAAGAAACGTCAAAATCAATAGATCTCAGACCCATGCAACTTATGGGTCCTACCATATTTCTTTCCTAAACACAGTGGCAAGTAGCTCAGCTTGGACCGTGGAGGCTATTTTATGTTATGAAAGAAAACACGGAATGAGGATTTGGGCAAATGGAATTGTAAACAATTCTCTGGACTTCATAGCTTTGCAATTTTGTGCAAATCACTTACACTTTGAGAGGCACCATTTCTTCACCTCTGTAAGACAGAGTATAAGGATCAATTAAATGAGCATAAGTAATTTCCTTATAAACTAGAGTATTCTATAAAAATACAAACTATGCTCACCTCAGGAAATAGCACCAAACCAAAACAATCTCACATTTCCAAGCCAACAAATGGAAGTTGGTGTTTCTGTGTTGCCACCTGTTATGTTATCGCCCTTAGGAGGTACAGGAGGAAGAAACACCAGGAGTTTTTCTGCACTTCAGCCTATGGAATGAAAGTAATCACTGATGGTAGTGGTATATCATGGGTTGCATTGTGTCCCCCAAACAGCCTCCCAAAATTATATTGGAATCGAAACCCCTAGTAACTCAGAAGGTGACCTTATTTGAAGATGGTTTTTACAGAGATAAGCAAATTAAAATAAGGTTATCTAGGTGGGCCCAAATCTAATATGACTGGTGTCCTTATCAAAAGGGGGAACTTGGACACAGAGACACACTTATTGTAGAGAAAATTTAAAGACAGGGCTAAAACAGATTCTTCCATCAGAAGGAATCAACCCTGCCAACACCTTGATTTTGGACTTCCTGCCTCCAGAACTGTGAGACAAAAAAAAAAAATTGTTTAAGCCACCCAGTTGGGGGTACTTTATTATGGCAGCCTTAGCAAACTAATATACGGTGCTAATAATTTTGTTATGTATGATATATGTTGTGTTCGTTAATCTTATATGTCAACTTGGCTGGGCTAAGGGATGCCCAGATAGCTGGCAAAGCATTACTTTGGGGGGTGTCTGTGAGAGTGGTTTCAGAAGAGATAGCAATTGAATTGGTGGACTAAGTAAAGATTTCCCTAATTAATGCAGATGGGCGTCATCCAATTTGTTGAGGGCCTGAATAGGGCAAATAGGCTGGAAAGGGCAAATTTGCTCTCCCTGCTTTGAGCTGGGACATCCATCTTCTGAGAAAGACCAGGTGGTCCAGTGAGAAGGAGAGAGCTTTAGAAGGAATGGTAGTGCCCATGATAAGCGCCATGACAGGGAAAGTTCGTGCTATAGGAGCACGCAGGAAGTGAAACTCTTTTGGATATCAGGTTCCAGGAAGGCTTCCCAGCCTCAAATTTAGTTGACACCTCAGCTAAAACCTAGGGAAGAGGACAAATGAGCCTGACAAAGACTGGGCCAAGTGGAAAGAGGCTGCAAGCACACAGCATCTGGACAGACTTGGAGCAAAAAGGTGAATACCACTCAGTACATGGTGGTGCCATTGTCTGAATGAAAAAATACAAAAGGATGAGCTAATTTATCTTATTTTGTATTGTTTCATTTTGTTTGAGGAAGGGAGAGAGACAAAGAGCTAGGCTTTGCACCATTTAATTTGAGGTGCTTCTGAAAAATCCACATAGATCAAACCCTAAGTGTGATATATTGAACTGAAGCTGAGAAAAGATAGCTGAGCTGAAGATAATCATCAAATAATAGCTGACGTATGAGCATAAATAAAATTACGAGGGGAGATTTTCTTGACTGAGAAAATAGGTCAAGGGCAGAACCCCAAGAGCACCAACATTTATTTAATGTGTGGGCAGAGGAAGACACACCCAAAATAAAGGACACAGCAGGTTCAGCCAAAGACATCAGAAAATAAAGAGAGAGGTATCCCAGAAGCCATGAGAGGACAAGGGTTCAAAGAAAGGATAGTCTGTCATTCATTGCATTTAGCCCAAGAAATGTTTTGGTAAATTTGGTAAGAATACCTTGGGGCCATGGTGAAAGTTATTAATAAAACCACACTTCAGTGAAGAGAAGAGTGAGTAATAAGAGAGACAGAGACAATTGTCAGATGGCCTCCCAATAGCATCCATGAGTTTAAGCCAACAAATGTATACTTCATTACCCATTTATTCCTTGCTACTCCTATCTAATATAGTTTACATAATTGCTAATTTAATAATTAAATGGAAAATCATTTTATTTAATACTAGTTCATTATTAACACTGTCAAAGGAAGCATTTTGTGGAATCTGTGTGGAAACCCTTCAGTGCTGATGACAACAAATGACAACAGCCTACCTGTGGCCCCTCCTGAAATCCATGGTCTTGCACTACAGTGAACCCCTCAACTCTTGCAACTCACGGAAGCAAAACTATTCAGAATTAGAGTGGACCTCAAAAATTCTTGCAGAGAACCCAGTGGAACTCACCATACAATCAGACAATCAGAGGAGGGAGGACTGAACGTAGCACAGGATGACTCGGTGGGGAGAGGCATCCCCTAGCGTCCACGCAGCGGCAAGATTTCACATGGATAGAGATGGCTGTCTACATGGTGTTCTCAGGAAAACCAGGACAACTTTGCTGCCCCAAACATATTTTTATCCCCTCTTCTCTAAAAACTTTAAAATGATATTTTAGGGACAAAATCCATGACTTCACAAATAACTTCTTTAAATGTTGTTGCTTAAAGGCAACTTGACGGCCGGGCGTGGTGGCTCACACCTGTAGTACTAGCACTCTGGGAGGCCGAGGCAGGCGGATTGCTCGAGGTCAGGAGTTCGAAACCAGCCTGAGCAAGAGTGAGACCCAATCTCTACTATAAATAGAAAGAAATTAATTGGCCAACAAATATATATAGAAAAAATTAGCCAGGCATGGTGGCACATGCCTGTCGTCCCAGCTACTCGGGAGGCTGAGGCAGGAGGATTGCTTGAGCCCAGGAGTTTGAGGTTGCTGTGAGCTAGGCTGACGCCACACGACTCTAGCCTGGGCAACAAAGTGGGACTCTGTCTCAAAAAAATAAATAAATAAATAAAGGCAACTTGACAAAAATGTAAATATGTAATATTAGCTCCTTTCCTAAAAACAGGTTTTTAGGTCTAGAAGATGGAGTTATAATACAGATCCAGCTGATGTAACAAAAGCCAAAGTATTAAGAATTAGCTTAAACAAGATAGGAGAGTAGTTTTTACTCATGTTACAGTCCAAATATAAGCAGTTCAGGGCAGATACACAGGTTCTATAGTGTAGGGGGCCTCAGTATCTGATTGCTGTGCCACCCTCAAAGGCCACTTTTATTTGGGATCCAAGGCATGTGTTTACATACAACAACAATCCTTATAAGTATCTCAATTTCATTAATTAGGAAATGAGGCACATAGATTATAAATGGCATGTCCAATGTCACACAGCTTCTTAGAGCTGCAGTCCCCAGCCCCTGATCATAGCCATGATCATAGCTCACAGCAACCTCAAACTCCCAGGCTCCATTGATCCTCCCACCTCAGCCTCTTGAGTAGCTGGGACTACAGGCATGTGCCTCCACACCTGGTTGATTTTTTTTTTTACTGTTTTTGTAGAGACAGTGACTCACTATGTTACCCAGACTGGTCTTGAACTCCTGGCTTCAAAGGATCCTCCCAAATAGGCCTCCCAAAGTGCTGGGATTACAGGTGTGAGCCACCATGTCCAGCCCAAATCTCAATGATTTTAGAATCAATTTCAAGTACTGCATCTGTCTCACTTTCATGTATTAAAAAGCTTATCCTACCCAAGTCAGAATGCTAATCTTTCATCCAGTTCAAAGCTTCACTTCTTCACACACAAAGACATAAGCAAATAAAGAATGTTCTAAAGCCAGACTTTGAAAGGAGTGAAACATAATCTTCTAAAACATTTTTTGTAAACCGTAAAAAATTTAAGAAAATTAAAAAGTGAAAAAAAAGTCAAATGGCTCTGGAACCGGTATTAGCACCCTCAGAACAAACACTTCCACATGCTGGTATTTAGAACTTTCAGAACATTAGCTGCTTAGGTACCATATTGCTTTAAGGCAAACACTACCTGCTTACAAGCCCTTGCCTCCTGCATGGATCGCCAATCAGCTGTTTTTCATTACCTGACTCTTAATAGTAAAGTAACGAAGAATCTGCAGAAGTTTAGAGAAACCCTTCAATATGAATGATGCAGATCAAGATAAACAAATTTGAAATGACCCTAAAGATAACAGAAGTATTTCAGTCGTCAGAAAATAACATTACAAAAATTCTAATGAATAGTCTCCAAGATACACAACTGAACAATTAGACCATGTTGGAACAAGAGAAAAAGGACTCTTACAGAGAGGTCTCCAGGAAGAAAGGATATTTAACATAATCAACTACACTGAGTGATTTGCAAAAAGACTGACATGAGTATAAAAAATGTGAAGACACAAAGGCAATTAGAAACTCCATGAAAAAGGAAAAGCTGTACAAGAAAGGATATGTTATCATAGACACTGTTTACTTGTGGTTAACGATATTTTATTGCCATAAAACTTACCCAATATTGATTCTCTACTTTGAGAATAACGTCATCCAGAAGGTATACCGTAACCCTCACAAGACAAATACCCAGCACTTACCAAAGTCATGGCTCAGAGCATCTTTAGTTTTTATTTCACACATGGTCACTTTATTACACATACAAAAATTAGCATTCTTATATTTTATGGAAAACAAAAATTCGGAAACTATGTGTACCAAAAAGTAAATTATGGTTAACTAAGGGTGTTCAGATAAGGAAGCATTATTATTTCTTCATCCATTTTGTTTATGAATGCTTTCTAGATTTTCCAAAATAATTATTATAATAGTCTCTTACATTAGTGACTCCAAAAAAATAATGCTTCCTGATATTCACATCCTTATGTAGCCCCTACCCCATGAATCTGGGCTGCTCTGTGATCACATAACCAATAGAATGCAGGAAGATTGGTATCATGCCAGTCCTGAGCTTAGGCTTAAGAAAGTAATTTTCTTTGCATTCTTAGGAGCCTTGAGCCGCCATCAAAGAACACCAGCATCGATACTGGAGAGACCCTGTGTAGACAACACAAAGAAATATCAAACATATATTCTGTATTCTAAAAATTACCTCTGTGTGTGGGTTTGTAGACATGCAAGCCTGGAATACATCTTAGGGAGACAGGATACATACCTGTAATATAATCAGTTCACTGGTGAAACTCAACCCAGAGCCCTACTCCAAGGAATGCTTCTTAAGTGCTTATTGCAATCACTCTGGTGGAACTCCTATCACTAAATAAGAACAGGGTTGTGTGCCTTTTTATTAACTGCCTCACACCCAGACCAAAACTCATCCTGATCTCTGTAATTATACAAAGCTCTGAACACTCTGTAATCATGTATTCACCCAAACTGTCTCCAGCCTGGAGGCACACCATTACCATTCGTACCTGGGAGTCTATAATCACCAACGATTCCATGGAAATTATTTCTCTACTTGAAATTTGAAAGCAGCACCCTGGGGATCATTTGGCCAAGAAGTCATGTGTTCTTTCTGTAGTGAAACACCTGACCAATTTGTTGATCTTATGATCAGAGAGAGATTTGTCTCCCCAAAAATGTTTTTATATTTGCATAGGTCTTTTTCAGTTCATGAAGAATCAAAACACCCAGGATTTTATGCCATCCTCCAAACAGCTTTCAACGCCTGGCTCCAAAGTTCATTGTTTTCCAGACTGTTTTTCTGCCAAGAGAATGTAGCCAAGATGAAGCACGACTAAAACTAGAGCTTATTATCACTAACCCCAGTGCCTCTTCCACCATCCTCAATGGCTTTTACTTTCTTTCTTCCAAAGTGATTAACATCGAGATTCCTATTCATAAAAATAGTTATCAAAGTGAAATTCAACTGTGTTCATTCCTCACAGGCGGTGACTCCTTGACAGGACCTGGACCATAGCCCCGCCTCTCATCTCCATGACACAGCTCTCTTCCTCTGGACTACCACTGAGGCATCATCCAACCAAGGTCCAATGAGCAGGAGGGGGGTGAAACTTCAATAAGGAGAAAGAACTTTTTGAATTTCTCCAGTCCGATTATCCACATTCAATTTCCTTTCATGCATTGATGATCTGCAGAATAGCCTAATGTCTTCCTTAGATAATCCCACTCAGCCTCTCAGATATGGATATTTATTTTCATTAATAAATAGAAACTTTCCACAGATTCCCCTGTATCCCACCCTCTGAACTCAGGACAGGAGTGCAGCTGGACCCTCCACCACTGGAGACAGGAGTGCAGCTGGACCCTCCACAGCAGAGGCTGTCCAGGGACTTGGGAGAACTCTAAGCTTCTTATTAAGATGTCAATATCAGAATGCCCAACATTTGAATCTGTGTCAGACAAAGTGTTGTATTTCTTGGTTTTATTCAAATGAGTTATAACTCTCCCTTCCCAATTTTCTCAATTTGAGAGTGTGGGAATCAGCATCCTTAGTCTTTTTTGAGAATCATACTGTACACATGAAATAATGGTCCTCTTAAATGCACTTGAGGAAAGAGCTGGCTACATCCCAGGCATGCAGTAACCAGGACTCTGTTCCACTTCTGCAGGCTTCTCACCCCTGTCAAGAAAGGTATTAGCCAACGAAAATTAGTTTATAGGCTCTAATACTCTATAATTATTTGTTTTTGTTCTACAATACAACTACCATACCAAACCCTAAGATGATCTAGCTAGAAACATCTTCCTATCTCATGGTCTAGTCCTATCACTTTCACTGGAAAATATTATCATATATGCTTTCCCTGCAATCAGGATCAGAAACACCCTCCAACCCAAGCAACAACAAAAAATAAAAAGCAACTCATAGGCCTGATGTAGCTGTAGAGAATTAGCAAGAGTCCCAGCAACTTTGCCATTATTTCTGTCTCCCTTAAGTCCCCTAAGGACCCAACTCTAAAAAGTAATAATGATCAAGAATCTCTATGTGTCTACTTCAGATATTGCAAAAATAATCTACAAAGCCAAGCACAAACACAAAACGCTCCCAGCCCTTCCTCTGCCTCCACTCTCCATGCCATACCATCCACAGCAGGGTACCAGGACAAAAGAAAAGACAAAGACAGGCAACAGAGGAATGAAGACATAAATTCAGAGGACACATGGAAACCAGCTTGTAGATACTTGTAAATGGCCATAAAAATCTTAAAAATTTGTGTGGTGATAAGCTGACTCTTAGGCTAAATGTTTCAAAGGCTGAGAAACATATCGTCCACATTAACTGTGGGTCATGTGGACATAAAGCATGTGTGGGGTGTGCATAGTGTGTGTACATGTGTGCATGTGTGTCTATCTATACACACTAACAGAGGAGCACCAGCAAGCTAAGCAACTGTACTGTAATCACCATAGATAGCCTCATTTTGATGATTGGGTAGCCAGGAGCAATGATGAAGTGAGGACATTGCACTGTATGTACTTTTGTGCTTTTTTTTATTTTATTTTATTTTATTTTTTATTTCGGCATATTATGGGGGTACCTTTTGTGCTTTTTGAATATTAGACTCTATAAATAAAATACCTATTTAACAAATAAATAATATCAAATTTTTTAAATAGTAAAAGAATACATGAATTTGCTAATACCTTCTGGAAATAAGCAAAAAAAATAAAAATTTTAGAAAGTATTGCTTTGGGGCTTCTGCCCAGACTGTGACTCCCACCCACAGAGGGATACTGTGCAGGTGCAGACCCAGCTGTCGCACTGTGTGTCATCCAGGATGCAGTAGTACACAGCACTGTCACTCAGGGCAGCCCGGGACAGGCTCAGGGTGCTCGACTTTCTGTCAGCAGGGATAAACAGAGATGCCACTTCATTTGTCACATTTGTCTTATATCCTTGAATAATAAATCGTGGTCCCTGGTTGGGGAACTGTTGGTACCAGAAGATAGTCTCACTTGTAGCAATGTCTGTGTGGCTACAGGGTATGTTCACTTCTTGTCCTTCATATGATTCCATGGCGATGGGCTGGGTGGTCTTAGCAAGGCTCAGAGAACCTGTGGGAGGGAAACACGATGCTAGCTCCTATCCTCACACCAAGCAGACCAAGCACCTCCGTGGTTCTCTCTCATAGTCAAATGCACCCCCACACCCTGCTATTCCACTATGCACATATGGTAAAATTTACTTCTCATTTGTGTTTCAGAACAAAAATATACTTTATATTTATCCCAAGGAGGCCTAGGAAAACATGTGGAAGGTCTACTCACCCCACAGCCCACCCCATAGATTGACCCTATAAATTAGAAACCCAGAAAATCTTTACTGCCTGAGACACACCCATGGAAAGGCTTAGGAGCTGCCTGGAGAAAAAGGCAACCCCAAATTTATCCCTCAACATAAAAAGCAGTTCCCAGGCAAGATTGCAGATTCCTATGCAGCATCCTAAGGCCCAGATCCTGATTCTTAAGCTCAAAATAACTCACCCAGGACCAGGAACACGATCACTCTTGCCACCTGCCGCATAGTCTAGATATAATCTAGGACCCAGGTTCTAGGCTTTTTTGCTGCATCTGAGCTGGGAAGAGCCCAGCAGCAACTGCCAGAGCCCACACCAGCAGCTCTCAGCTGGGGTTGTCCCTAGGAGAGCAGCCAATAGCAGGGCAGCAGCTCCTCAGAGTGGGGCTCCCCTCCAAGTTCAACTGAACCTCCAAGATGAATCGGAGCAAAAACTACCAGTAGCAGACCATAGCAGCCTGATGTCATCTTAGATCTTTGCTGAGGTCTAATCCCTAAAAGATTTCAATGAGGCAAATCTAGGAGTGGGTAGAGTCCATCAGGCTCCTTCCTTATTCCTCAATACGTTTCCATAGCCCCAGAGGGTGGTCATCCATTGTGGTCAGTCTGACACTCATAGACTCATGGACACTCATGGCTTTGAGGGTCCTGATCTGGTACCTTCTGCCCTGAAATGCTTCATTCATCCCTATTTAGCCAAGAGGAAACAGAGAATCCAATCTCATTCGAAAAAAAGAGGAAATGAGGCCGTCTGAACTGGACCTTCCAACTCCTGACACCTTGCTGTCTTTTTTTGGTCCAACTAAGTCCACATCTAATATCTCTTCTCAAGCCCTGTTTAAAGGTGTTACCTATCAGCTAGTGTACATAGGAAGGACATTTTCTGTTGAATCATTCATATAACCAGGCAGGAAATGAGGTGTAAAAGAAGAAAAGGCACAAGTTCATAGTCGACAGATGTAAATCCAAATCTCAGGTCTGCACCTGTGACCTTGGGCAAATCTCTCCTCAGAGCCCTGGTTTCTTCATTTGAAAATTGGGAACAATAGTACTTATTTCAGGATCACCCTATACCATGTAGTCAAAAGTAAATTGTAGTTCCTTCCCCTTCCTTTCCTTCTCCTTTGACTCACATCCAAAGTACCACGGCTACTAGAAAGCAGTTGTGTAGGATTATACATACAATTTTTAAAAAGTACCATGCACCCTTTCTTCAATAAATATTCAGTATAAACTCTATAACAGTAACAGCCATTCAGGAAAAGAGCCATATCCAAAAGATGCTGTGATGTTAACTGAATCAGCCAAATGATGTAAACAGAGCATGTTAGATACTCACATTGATGTGGAACAGATAGTATGTTGAGATTTTTCCTCATATAATATGGACTTGGAAAAAAATCACTGTAAAATATTCAGGAAGTACCTTTTCTAGATCTAGAATTGCCCAAAGCATTCTGAATGAGCAATTTCTTTTCTATTTTCCCACGCAAAAAATAAATCAGTGAGTGCTAATGACTTCTAGTAGTAACATTTTGACAGAGTAGATACCACAAATCATAAAGTAAATAACCAGATTTCACTCAGTATCAGGTGGAGGAGAAAGGAAGTTTTTATGAGAGACCTGAAAATACTAGGAAGGGCACCTTGCACAGAAATGAAAATAAATGGCTCCACTTTAGACTCAAAGCAACGGCGACCTCCTGTGGTACATATTCAAATAGAAGAAACATGTCAAAATTAGTAGATCTCAGACCCATGCAACTTATGGGTCTTTCCATATTTCTTTGCTAAACGCAGTGGCTGGGAGCTCAGCTGGACCATGGAGTCTATTTTATGTTATGGAAGAAAACATCAAATGAGGATTTGGACAAACTGGATTGTAAACAATTCTCTGGACTTGATAGCTGTGCAATTTTCTGAAAATCACTTACACTTTGAGAGGCACTGTTTGTTCTCCTCTACATGAGAGAGTATAAGGATCAATTAAATGAGCAGAAGTAAGTTCTTTCTAAACAACAGGGTTCTATAAAAATACAAACTGTTTAAATCAGGAAATAGTACCAACTCAAAATGATCTCACATTGCCAAGCCAACAATTGGAACTTGGTGTTTCTGTGTTGCCACCTGTTATCTCACTTAGGAGAATATTGCTAGATACAAAGTAACGGGAGGAAGAAACATCAGGAGTTTTTCTAGGCTTCGGCCTATGGAATGAAAGTAATCACTGATGGTAGTGGTATATCATGGGTTGCATTGTGTCCCCCAAACCCCTCACAAAAAATATATTAGAATCTTTAGCACCTCAGAATGTGATCTTATTTGAAGATAGTTTTAGACAGAGATAAACAAATTAAAATGAGGTTATCTGGGTGGGCCTATATCCAATATGACTGGTGTCCTTATAAAAAGGGGGAATTTGGACACAGAGACAGACCTGAATAGAGGGGAAAGTTAAAGAGAGGCTTAGAATAGATTCTTTCATCAGAAAGAACCAACCCTGCCAACACCTTGATTTTGGACTGCCTGCCTGCAGAACTGTGAGCCAAAAAAAATTGTTGTTTAAGCCACCTAGTTTGGTGTACTTTGTTATGGCAGCCTTGCAAACTAAAATATGGTGATAATAATTATGTGATACGTGATATATTTTGTGTTGCTTAATCATATGTCAACTTGGCTGGGCTAATGGATGCCCAGATAGCTGGTAAAACATTATTTTGGGTGTTCTCTCTGACAGTGGTTTTAGAAGAGATCAGCACTTGAATTGGTAGATGAGTAAAGATTCGCCTATTTAATGCAGATGGGCATCATCTAATTTATTGAGGTCCTGCATAGAGCAAACAGGCAGAGGAAGAGCAAACTTCCTCTCCCTGCTTGAGCTGAGACATCCATCTACTGAGAAAAACATTCTCTAGTGAGAAGGAAGAGAGCTTTAAAAGGAATGGTAGTCCCCATGATAAGCACTGTGACAGGGAAAGTTTGTACTATAGGAGCACACAGGAAGTGAAGCTGTTTAGGTTGTGGGGTTCCAGGAAGGCTTCCCAGGCTCAGGCTTAGTTGACACCTCAGCTAAAACCTAAGGAAAAGAGAGAATGAGCATGACAAAGACTGGGCCAAGTGGAAAGAGGCTGCAAGCACAGCATCTGGACAGACTTGGAGCAAAAGGTTGGATGGCACTCAGTACATGGTGGTACCATTGTCTGAATAAAAAAACACAAACGAAGCTGGGCGAGGTGGCTCATGCCTGTAATCCTAGCACTCTGGGAGGCTGAGGCGGGCGGATTGCTCGAGGTCAGGAGTTCGAAACCAGCCTGAGCAAGAGCAAGACCCCGTCTCTACTATAAATAGAAAGAAATTAATTGGCCAACTAATATATATAGAAAATTAGCCGGGCATGGTGGCGCATGCCTGTAGTCCCAGCTACTCGGGAGGCTGAGGCAGAAGAATTGCTTGAGCCCAGGAGTTTGAGGTTGCTGTGAGCTAGGCTGATGCCATGGCACTCACTCTAGCCTGGTCAACAAGCGAGACTCTGTCTCAAAAAAAAAAAATACAAACGAATGAGCAAATTTATCTTGTTTGTGTTGTTTCATTTTATTTCAGGAAGGGAGAGAGATAAAGAGCTAAGCTTTACACTATTCACTTCAGGTGCTTACGGAAAATCCACATAGATCAAAACCCCAGTGTGATATATTGACTTGAGGCTTACAAGACATATCTGAGCTGAAAATAATCAGCCAAATAATGCTGATATGAGCATAAATAAAATTACACAAGGTAGAGAAAAAGAAAGAGTGTCCAGAAACCATGAGAGACAAGGTTTCAAAAAGAATACTCAATCATTCCTTCCATTTAGCACAAGAAATTTTTTGGTAAACTTGGAAAGAATAGTTTGAGACAGTGGTGAAAGTTATTAATAAAAACCACACTTCAGTGGGGAGAAAGTGAGTAAACAAGACAGATAAAATTGTCAGATGGCCTCCCAATAGCATCCATGAGTTTATGCCATCAAATGTTATATTGGATACACATTTTACTCTTTGCTCTCCTATATTATATATTTTCATAATTGCTTAATTTAATAATTAAATGGAATATCATTTATTAATATTGTTCATTATTGACACTGTCAAAGGAAGCATTTTGTGGGATCTGTGTGGGATCCTTTAGTGCAGATGACAACAATGACAACAGCCTACACTGTGGCCCCTCCTGAAATCCATGGTCTGCCACTACAGTGAACACTCCAAGTGTTGCATCTCATGGAAGCACAACTTTTCAGAGTTAGAGTGGACCTCGAAGATTCTTGCAGAGAACCCAGTGGAACTCACCATACAACCAGACAAGATCAGAGGAGGGAGGACTGAACGTAGCACAGGATGACTCGGTGGGGAGAGCATCCCCTGCTGTCCAGGCAGGGGCAGTTTTCACATGGATGGAGATGGCTGTCTACATGGTGTTCTCAGGAAAAACAGCAGGACAACCTTGCTGCCTCAGACATATTTTTTATCCCCTCTTCTAAAAGCTTAAAATGTATTTCAGGGACCCCAAACCAAGACTTCACATGTAATGTTTGAAATGTTGTCCTTAAGGGCAACTTGACGCAATGTAAATAGACAATATTAGCTTCTTCCTAAAAGCAGGTTCAGGTATTGAAGATGGAATTATAATACAGATCCAGCTGATGTAACAAAGCGAAGTATTAATAGTTAGCTTAAACAAGATAGGAGAGTAGTTTTTTTCTCATGTTACAGTCCAAATATTAAGGCAGTTAATGGCAGATATACAGGTTCTATAGTGTTGGGGACCTCAGTATCTGATTGCTATGTCACCCTCAACAGCCACTTTTATTTGGGGTCCAAGCCGTAGTTTACATTAGACAAGAATCCTCACAACAATCCTTATACAGTATCTCAATTTCATTAATTAGGAAAATAAGGCACACAGATTATATGTGGCATGTCCAATGTCACAACCTACTTAGGAGCTGTGTCCCCAACCACTGAGTAAGGGACCACATACCAGTCCATGGCCGTTATGAACTGAGTCACAGAGCCCCACCCCAATCTGTGGAAAAATTGTCTTCCATGAAACTTAGGAACCAGGTGGCACAGCAGGCATCACCCAGGCTGGAGGTGAGTGACCATGATCATAGCTCACTGCAGCCTCAAAATTCCTAAGGCTCCAGTGATCCCCCCACCTCAGCCTCTTGGTAGCTGGGATACAGGCATTGCCACAACATCCCGTTAATTTTTTAAATGTTTGGTACAGATGGAG